AACATGGCCAGCCCAAGTGTGTGCTGCCTTTCCTTGCTCAAGTCCAGGAGCACAAGTCGTCCACTCCAGTTTGCCCTTGCTTGGACTATCGCAGGCTGAATGCCTGCATCATCTCACATCCTGGCTCAGAAGCACCTGCCTGTGGTGAGAAATTACGGAAGTGGCGGCAGGCTGGACCTGCATCTGAGTACGTTCTCCTGGACATTCGCAAGGCCTACTTACAGGTCCATGTCGCACCATCATTGCTGCCATACCAGGTTGTCCTCGTCGACGGCCAGCGTTACGTGATGGAACGGATGGCGTTCGGTCTATCCATTGCCCCCAAGTTCCTAGACATCATAGTGAAGTGGGTCTTGCGTGACGTGGTCGATGCCGACAACTACGTGGATGATATCCACGTGCCGCGTGACCGTGCTGCCGAAGTGTCCTCTCAGCTTGCTGCGTTTGGTTTTGAGACCAAGCCTGCAGAGCCATTGCCTAATGCCCGTGTTCTGGGCTTGCAGCTCCATTCTAGCGCCACGGGTGAAGTCTTGTGGACCCGTCGTCAGGGTGTTGATCTGTCTGTTCCACCCACGACTACGAAGCGGGAACTCTTCAGTTGGTGCGGTCGGGCGCTCAGCCATTATCCCGTCTGCTGTTGGCTTCGTCCGGCCTGCAGCTTCTTGAAGCGCCTCGTGTCTGGCCAGTCCGCATGGGATAAGCCTGTCTCCCCTGAAGTACAGCGGTTCCTCCAGGAACTGTCCGATCGTTGTGTGCGAGAGGATCCTGCTCATGGTACGTGGCATTCTTCCTCTACTGGTTCTGGTTTTGTTGTTCATTGCGATGCCTCTGATGTTGCTATTGGTGTTGTTTTGGAGTGTGATGGTTCTGTTCTGGAAGATCGTTCTTGGCTCCGGCCAAAGGACGACCGGCGTCATATCAATCTTGCTGAGTTGAATGCTGCCTTGAAAGGCCTCGAGCTGGCCATTGATTGGAATGTCTCTAATGTTGTGCTCAAGACAGACTCTAAGACTGTCTTTGGTTGGCTCCAGGCTGTGTTGCGCAATACTGAACGGGTGCGAGTTAGTGGTTTGCAACATGTCTTGGTTCAACGTCGTCTGCAGATCTTTACAGATTTGATTGAGGCATCCGGTATTTCGGTCACAGTGGAATGGGTGCCAAGTTCTGAGAATCATGCTGATGTACTGACTCGTGTTCCGCAGCCGTGGGTTGCTCATGCTAAGAAGTTGTGTTCTTCTGCTGATGTCGCTGCTTGTGCCCCCTCTTCTACACTTTCACATCCATTGGAGTTTGACGTGTTGAAGTCTGGTCAAGCTACTGATGATGCTATCCAGAGCGTTATTCGCGATTTGTCTCGTGACGTCTCTGTTTCTGATCCGTCGTTCTGCAAGTTTCGTAAGCAGTTGTGTGTTATTGATGGTCTATTGTGTCGCACTTGGCGTGACCCCGTCGATGGTGAGGTACTGGTTCCTGTTGCACCGCAATCCACCGTTCCCGCTTTGATTACTGCTGCTCATGCCAATACAGGTCATGGCAATTGGGAAACTATGTGGCGTTCTCTGTGTCAGTCTTGTTTCTTTCCAGGTATGTCTTCGCTATGCCAGGCCTATGTGCGTAATTGTCAGGCCTGCCAGGCTGCCAATCCCCGCAGTGGTCCACCTGCTCCTGCTGTTCAGAATGACGTTCCTGTCAAGCCGTGGGACATTGTCCAGATCGATACACTGGAGCTCGGTGTCAACCAGACCGGTCAGTACCATTGTGTGTTAGTGGTTGTCGATATGTTTTCCCGTTGGGTCGAGGTGGTACCCTTGCGGCGTCATGATGGTCGCTCTGTTGCTGAGGAATTTCTGCGTCTCTGTTTGAAGTTTGGTCCGCCGCGTGTGGTGCGTTGCGACAATGGTCATGAGTTCCGCAATGCTATTGTGTCTTCTTTGTTGGATGTGTTTGGTGTTTGCGTTCCTACTGGTGCGGTCCGTCACCCTCAGTCACAGGGTGGCGCTGAGAGATTCAATCGTACTATTCTCACTCTTATTCGCAAGGTGTTGGATACTGCTGCCGATTGGCTAGCCGAGCTAGAGATTCTCCTCTTCTTCTACCGTACTCGTCCGCATAGTGAATTGAATATTTCTCCCATGCGCGCTATGTTTGGCTGGGAGCCTCGTGCTCTATTTGTGGACGGTATACCATCTACTCTTTCATCCTCTCTTTGGGTTGATGGTGTGTGTGATAAGGCTGCTCGGGTTCACGACTATTTGACGGCGGTTGTTGCAGAGCACGCCCCTGCGCCTGTTGTTGAGTCGCCTTCTTGTCCGTATGTTGTTGGTGATCGTGTTCTATTGCGTAACCCTGATCGTCGCCAGAAACGTCAGCCCCCGTTCGATTCTGGTTGGTCAGTTAAACATGTTATTGGTCCTGCCAGTGTTGTGATTTGCCGTGTGCATCCTGAGTCAGGCCGTCGTCAGGAAAAGGTGGTCAATGTCGAGCTCTTGAAGCGTGATGTTGGTTTGGTTGTTCCTGATGTGCCGTGTGCTCCTCTAGTGCCCCCGCCTGATGTTGGCGA